ATATATATATATATATATATATATATATATATATATATATATATATATATATATATATATATATACATGTGTCTGTGTGTGCGCGTGTTAGTGTATATATGTATAAATATATATATTACACACTCATATATATAATATGCATATCAAATATGCATTATGAATTACATTAACATTCTCTTAGTTTCATCATCTGCACTGAAGCCTCAACGTTCGGTTCTGCAGTGCGTTTACGAGAAAAAAGGATATAAGCTGAACGGGGATTAAACCCGTGCAGGACCCTCGATCTCCTCGTCAGTATAAATAGTGCTATTTACTGAATCCTCGTCATTATCTCCAACAAGTGCCAGCATACAAGGCCATGCTAAGCAATCCTATTTGCCTTTCCAAAATCCTCTACAACGAAACCAACTTCGCCAAACGTCGTCATGTCGGTTTACCCAACTCAAGATGCCTTCTACGGCGCCGTCGGAAGCGCAGATGAATATCCAAGTGCCAGTTTGATCTTCCGTGACACACAAAGCTCAAATGTCCATGAAGATGAAGAGCTCATTGCCAACTTTGACCTGGATCTTCTGGCAGCCGAACTGTGGCCTGAGTCGAGCGTTGCGGGAGCAGCATCCGACTCGGCGTCTCGTGAAGGAGGCCTTTTCAGTGCCACATCTCTCTCTTCGCAAGACGAGGATTTCTTGGTATGTGTACGCCAGCTTTTAGCTATTGATAAAAATCTGGATATATGGAAGATTATGTTTCTCCTCTGATAAAACAGGAAGCAGTCAAAGTGTGCAAGATAACTGATGCATTTTTAATCTTTGCAGGGTCTTGGTGCTGTCAATCCAAATGACATGTTCAGCAGTGGGATGCAACCGTCATATCCATCGTCTCACAACACAGAAGGATATGATCCTTATCAGTATTGCGAGCAACAGGCTACCTCCTCTTATTCTCATCAGCCACCGTTGGACCTTTCTCAGTATGACGCCAATTTGGGAGAATCTTTTCAGCAAATGAATATTTCTCAGTCATACGATCAGCATTCTGGATATGCTTATCATAATGATCAACAAATGGGCATTTATCAGCAACCTTATCAACAATCGGGCATTTCTCTCGACTGGAACCAACAGTTTAATGTCCTCCAAAGCCAAGAAGGTGTAGCTACTGCTGGTGTGTCTGGAAGTGGCACTTCAAAGAAACGGAAAGGCTATCGACATCGGCATCAGCGTCAGTTCCTCAGTAGCGCTGAGCAACGAGAACAGCGGTCCCGCGTGCTCAACAACGAGGCTTCGGCCATTTACCGAAGGAAGATGCGCGATCTGCACGACAAAGCTCGCACGGAGCTGGACGGCCTTGAGCAGAGGAACCAGCAACTCACGCAGAGGTTCCGCCTCCTGCAGAAGTTCTGCTCCGGATACAGGGCTCGCTTGGAGGCTCTCGGCGTGCCAGCAACAAACAACTTTTGACCCGAAGTCAGCTGATTATATTTCATTTCAGAGAATGTATCATTCTATTAGTTAAAATGAACATATTCAATATACATATTATTCCATTATCATATTTGTTAAATTATGTTATTCAAATGTTTCCCAAATGAATTATATAAAAATACTTCCTCGAGTTATCAATTCCTCATAATCATAAGATAATTTTTCTTTATACAAATTGCGAATGAATATGAAATGAAAATTACAAATGTTAACTATGATGGCAATTATCACAGTAAATTAAAATAATTATTATAACAAAGAGTAACAAAAAAAAAAAAAAAAAGAAACTAGGGATTCGATAAAAAGAGATTAGCGCAAACAAGCAGACGTATAGAATATCCCCCTCTTCTCCCTACATATTTGGAGTGCAGTGATGCGTGCATCTATTCACACACATACATATATGTATATATTTATATTATATATATATATTTTGTATGTACATGCCAATTTTCCCTGTCAATGAAAAAAACTCATTCGCACACATACATATCCATCTAGCTATAATATATGTATATATATATAATGTGCATATATATATATATATATATATATATATATATATATATATATATATATATATATATATATATATAACGAGAATGACAAGGATTCAGTGAAAAACGCTATTCAGAATGGGAGAAGAGCGATGCGCCAGTGCGGGTTTCAACCCCGTTTCCCGTGATCCGGTTTTTTTGTTTTTTCCGTAAATGTACACCATTGCTGAACGTTGAAGCCCAAGCGCAGCTGATGAAACATGAAGTCTATAATAAACATTTGGCACATGTATGTATATATATATATATATATATATATATATATATATATATATATAGAGTATCCATACATCTGTGTATATATACTTTTCTGTTGGCCTATTAGATCAGGGGAGAAGACACCATAGTTCCATGTTTGTATTCTTTTATATTCACTATTATCCATCTTGTTCATATCGATATCATAAGCAATGCCATTACTTCCAGTGCGCGTATTAATGCCATTGCTGTTGTTTAGAC